ACACCTCATGAAAAAAGCAAAAAGGATACCATCAAATACACGGGACTATGTTCATATACATGGCTCTGAACTATCTGTCTAGTGTTCCCCTCTTGATGAAGCATTGTGGGGAAGAAAATGCGAAATCTATCAGCTTAGAATTTGCCACTTTGGCACAAAATCGCACACACACACTGACACACACACACTCACACACACCAACACCACACACACACACAAACACACAACCACACAACACAGGATGTTATGTTACAGACGCCTGGCTACTTTCAGTTCCCCGTTCTGTTGACTGGGTGGTGTTGGTACGTCCTGTTGGACCCCCCCCTTACTGAGACAGAGGTGGGAACATACAAATATTTAAAAAAAAAGTATTATTTTTTGTTTTGCTTTACCTATCTATACATATATAGATAAATATTAATTTTTATGTTAAAAAGGAGCATCACTTATTTTCAAAAAGCTGTAGTTATATTGCCCCTAGACAAAAAATAATAATTACCAAAGGCAAATGAAATTAATGCATAGAGAAAAGCAAAATAGGTGGCATAAGATGTAGCAAGAGTTAACAACTATCCAGTAGTGTGGGCCCGTATCGCCCAGAGTAAAAATAACACGGCTATATTCGCTCTCAATTTTGACTCTGAAAATATTAATACCTCATATGCTCAATCAGATTAGTTTGCTTTCAATTCTAGTCTTTATTTTTTATAATAACATTATTTTTTAGTGTTATGTAAACATGTAATGCTGCAAACTAGCTTTGCTGCAAATCCATGGTATAACAGATACCATAAGTACTTTATTCAGGCCTAGGCGTGTAAAATAAATATATTAACTGGCTCTAGGAAAAGCCAACTGAGTGTTTTAGAACGACGAAGCTATCAATAGTGGGCGAGGGGCGCCCCTACCGACTGACGATTTGGCTTCTACCTTTTTGTGGTGGGGCGGGGTCTGGGCGCCCCTTAACATGCTGTTTATTTCAATCAGGTTGCCTGCATGCAACTACACTTTTCAGTTATTCATGTCTATCTATCTCGATTCCTGCCCATGTTTGCAGCACATATACACTGATAGACGTACGTACGACTCGCACAGGGAAGACCATATGAACAGGGAAGACTTGCGTCGACAGGAATTCACGCGGCCTCTGCGTCGCGGCTAGTTGGGCCTCGCCACGCAGTGCGGGCCAGAGCACGACGGTTCCTGCACAAACAAGCGGTGAACACATCCTAGAGCAACAGGGGAGAAAAAAAAATCAACAACAACCCTCTTCAAATCAATCACCAAACGAGAGACCTCAGCCATGAGCATTACACTTATAAAACTCGTCCCAGATAGGTGAAGTACTTTTCTTGCAGTGATTTTGATTGACTATCAACTTGTGCAATTTTGTATACCGTATATGTAGTTAGGTCTGCAGATATAGCTAGGAACTGCTTCGATTCGCTCTTAACTGCTGTCGTCTGTTCAACTCTATATCCATAGAAGTCCTGAAAAGCTCTCATATATCTAGATATGTTTATGCCACACTATATATGATTATCTCATCTTCTGTACACACCACTGTGCACACAGTACTACACATCTGAAGCCTCTCGACACACACTGAACACACACACAACAGCACACCACACACACACACACACGGACCGGACGGTCTGGTCTTTCTTACTGCACACAAACATGGCCTACAAACGCCTCGCAGTCTGATCTGAAGAGAGAAGACGCTAACAATGTGAGCTTAAACTGAGAATGAGGTTTCTTTTTTTTTTTTTATTTTTTTTGTGTTTGTTTGTTCTTGTTTTCGTTTGTTTGTCTTGTGTTGTTCCACCGTATGCAAAAAAAAAGCGCACGTTTACGTCCTCAGAATCTGCAACAAAGAGCTCACCATGTTCGACTTTTTAAACAGACCACCGTAACCACACAGGATGCAAGCAGCCTGCCCGCAGAGCAGGGCGCGTCTGCTGTCGGCTGCGCCTCTCAGAGGGAGGCCCGCGAGGTTGCAGCCAGATTAGATGCAGGCAGAGGGGCAGTCGCCAAGAAGAATTCGCTGGTGAGGGAGGGTGGCGCGAGGGGGTGGGGGGTTGCATAAAATGAAACATTGAAAGCTCTATGGAAGATCTTGAGGTTGATAAACTGAGGCTCTGCACAGTGCCTCTCATCTACATGGCTCAGGGTGGCGCGGGTTAACATCCCCAGAGTGCTGCAGATGCTGCTATAATATGCTGGGGAGGGATGGGAGGGGGGCGCGTTACCATATTTTATCCAGATGTTTTTTTTCCTGCAAAGCTTGAAAATGGACTCTGGCCTAAAAAATGTGTGATCATATATTATATTTTTTGTTTTTATGGAGAGCCAGTTCAAAACAGGATGGGTGGTGGTGCGAGCGTGGGGTGGGTGGGGGCGGAGCGAGACATGGGGGGTGTGTTAAATGAATGCTAATGCCACTTAGAAACTTAAAGTATTGGCTGGCTGAAGGGATCCAGGGCGGCTCTGTGTTTGGGTATCGGGTGGGGGGCAAGTTACACGCGTTGAGCAGTTTTTGTGGACACAATGGAGATCCTACATCATTGCAAGTTAATCATGTGTTCGTCCGACCCCCGACCCCTCCTCCTCTCTTCTGAGTTTCGTTTCTCTATTATATCTTATTTTTTTTCGTCGTTGGAGTTGTGATGTCCCGTGCTGCGCCCCGCAGAAACCCCCCCCCCCCCCCTTCCCACTCCTCCTCCCTCCTTTCTTTTTTAGTCGCAAATGTTTTTTGCTTTAGGATAGTGATGTTTCTGTTTGTTTCCTTGTCAAGGAAAAAAAACTAATTGAAAACTAAGCAGCAAGGATACTTTTTTTTTACTGATAGAAAAAATACAAAAACTAAGAGGCTAACATGAGTAATAATACGAATCCCTCACGAAAGTTGAATTCTGGGTTTTGGTGTGACATTTTCCTCTTTCCCCACCTTCCGCAACAAGGTTTTCTTATGCTTTGTTCCTTCTCTATTGATAGATATCTGTTATGCACTACCTCTTTGTTATCTGAACAGTTTTCGACGTCAGCATTTGCATTTTTCTGGTTTAAAAGACGAAAAAAGACGACAAACGTGCTTTCTGCTATACGTTGACAGATCTTTGGCACTACCCAATTTTTGAAATATTTAGCAGAGAGAAACTTTTTCCTTTCTTCTCCCCTGGTAAAACTTCTTTAAGTGCCTCTCTTTTCATTTTCATTCTAAGGTGCTTTAAGCTTTTAACTTTTTCCAGGATGCGAAAAAAAAAAAAAAAAAAAACTTTTTACTTTATCTCCTTAATTTTTTTTATTTTCCCTTTTCAAAAGGGGAGGAAAAAAAAAAAATGATTTACACTAGATGGTGAATTTTTTTTTTTTGTTTAATTTTTATTTCATGCTTGATTCTTTATTTTACATGAATTTTATTTTTTGGAGAATAAAAGACAACAACTGAAGAGCTAGAGCTTTATAACTAATATGATATTGGAGTTAGTGAGAGTACGGTCTACCTTTATATACAGTGGAAGTGAGGGCTGAGTGTCCATTCGGTCAATTGGACCGAAAACATTAAGAGCGAAGAAGAGCTCTTTAGAAAACAAAATATCAGAGGTGCTTCAGAATAGAAAACTGATGAATATTTCCACGTTTTTTGTATCATTTTAATCACTCATTTTACTATGCTGACCAGAGCTTGTGAAAGAGATCGCTTCTGTTCAGTTATTTTTTTAGAGAAGTTTTTTTGTTTCCTAAAGTATGCTGCTCCCTTTGTTTCTGCTAAAAAAAACAAAAGCAACGTAACCCTAAGATTGTTAGCCTAGAACTTGCGCTGGGAGAAATAAAAACAAACAGAAGCATTGTGAGAGTCGATCCCCGAACAAGCTAGAGGGGTAGGAGACAGATGTTAATATTGTACACAATCAGACACAAGTGTATTCACCTTACTAATACAGAGCAACACCAATGAAAGAGAATGCTAATCTAAGACTGGGGCCCTATACTATTCACGCGAAAGACTTGAATTATATGTCCCATTTTTAAAGAACTAAAACCATATGACAATCTTATAG